GTGTGTGTGTGTGTGTGTGTGTGTGTGTGTGTGCGTATATGTACGCACGTGCGGACGTGCGTGCGGTGTGCGTGTGTTTATTATGAATCTCTTTATTTTCTTTCTTCCTTCCGTTCTCATTTTTTCCCCTTTCTTTCCCTCTGTTCCCCATCCTTTTTTGTTTTCTTTCTCTTCGAACTTTATTTTCCTCCCCTTCTGCTTTCTTTCTTTCTTTATCTTCCGTCTTTACTATCATCCTTTCTTCCTCCCTTCCCTCCGTTCTTTTCTCCATCAGATCAAAGACTGTAGTTTCGCTCCCGGGAAAACCGCGAGGGAGATTCAAACCCTAACCACCGGCGTTCAAGTTGTCTGTGACTCCTCCATAGACGGCGGCGGCTGGATGCTTATACAGGTAGGTCATTGAGGTTTTGGAGGGAGAGAGAGAGAGAGAGAGAGAGAGAGAGAGAGAGAGAGAGAGAGAGAGGGGGGGGGGGTCAGCTTTTTAAGGTCTTTTTATAATATTGTTAAGATTTGTCTCGTGGTAAGGTGTGTGTTCCCTTGTTTTAGTAGCGTGTAACCTGTAAAGGCTTGAGCTTTCATCAAACATGTGTCAAAGATGTTTGAGAACCTCCGTTCTTTTTGTTGTTGTTATTCTTTTTTTTCTCCATAATTTTGTTGACACAGTAGGATGGACCTACAGCTTTTATCTTTTGGATATCTTTGAAGTTTTTTTTAATGTTTGGTAGTAGGGGGAAAAGGAGGGTTTGTGTATGAGTAGGGGAGGGGAGGAGGAGGGGGAGGGGCGTGAGAAATGAATCTGATGAAGGAGACAGTGTTCCTTTGGATACGAGTTGAAAGCGTGCGTTACTCCTGGCAAAAATAATTGCATTGAATTCCAAAAGTTGATTATTTTTATAAATATTATTATTCCCAGAAAAGACTGAACCAAAAGCACGAATACTCACTGAGCAAAAGATTTTTGATGATGAGAAATGAACTCTTAACTTTCACATTCTGAACAAGTAGCTATGCTTTTACACTCTGTTCATATTCAGATTTTGTTTTAAGAATACAGAAAATACAGATTCTGCTGTGGTCTTTTGACATCGAGTGTACTGTATTTCGTCATGGTGCTGCCGATGTGGCCTAACTCATTATTTGCACTTTTGAGACCGAGAGACTTGGTTTGACGTTTTAAAATGTCCTTTTTTTAAAATTGAGTATGACGCCAGGCACTTTTGAGAAATAAAATAATACTAAATGAGGCACCATTAAGAGTTACGCGTAGTTACAAAATGGTTACATACCATTATGATCTCGATAACAATTCTCCTCTCAGGGTAATCAAACTCTGGTCTCCTGCATGTGACAGCTTAACCGCTACTATATAGTGTAAAGCGCACAGAGCCTGCTGTTGAGCGGGGATATGCGCTATACAAATGCTATTTATTATTATTATTAATATTACTTCCTAGACTCCAGTGTGCAGACTGTAACAAGAATTCATTTCTAATCGTTGCCTCAGAATTACAAAGTTCTATCTACTCATTCAAGATCAGACTGGGGCGTTCCCGGGTCATGTCAGTATTTTTGTATGCGTGTGGAACTTGGACCTTGAATGCAGACCTTGAAGGAAGGATCAAAGCTATGGAGATGAGATGCTTCCGAAAAATCCTTGGTATCTCCTACAAAGATCACACCACAAATGATGAAGTCAAACAACGAATCAAAAATGATTCGCAAACTGCAATGGTATGGACACATCACCCGTTCATCTGGCCTTGCCAAGATGATCCTGCAAGGCAGCCTCCATGGAAAAAGGAGCAGAAGCAGATCGAAGAAGAGTTGGGAGGACAACATCAAGGAATGGTCAGGCCTGGAACTCAAAGACACGCTCAGGAAAGCTGAAGACCGGAAGGAGTGGAGGAAGCTGGTGACCAAATCTTCAAAAGCGCCCCAGAGACATCCAGTCCACGGGATATGTGAAGGTGAAGGATCTACTCATTACTTAGTTTCGAGAAATTTGACGTCAAAATGCTTGAGTTTCACAATATGTCAAGCTTTTACGAATGCAATTCTTTGAATATCTTGATAAAGGCTCCGAATAGTATTACGACTTTGATTAGAGCAGATAAAACATTTGGTTTTCGATCTCATGGTCTTAGTAACTCAAAACGGCCAAAAATGCCAGATAGAACTGTAATTCGAAGGTAGCGATTTTGAGAGCTAAATCTGCTGATAACAATTTGCTCGGACTTTAGAGTGGCAGTGGTGATATACTTTCTTGGCAGTAACCTCTGCAAGAACCTTGTGGGTCTTTTTATTCTAATGTTTATAATCTATGTCCATCCCATTGTTTTATGTGTTTTTATATCCTTCTGTTTTCGATTTCAGTATTTCCACTAAGATTTTCTTTGGGCTTATTTATTTTTATTTTTTTTTTGGGTTTTGATTGATCTGTCAATAATTTTTGTCTAATCTGGCTTTTCTTCTCCTTTTTCTTTGCCTTCGACATAATCTAGACAGTAACAAGAATACAACGTCTAATATCATCGATGATGACGACGACGATGATGACAAGGAGGAACAAAAAACAAAAAAAAACCAAAAAAATTATTTTAAAAAACCCTAAGGGAAAAAGAAACAAAGTTCCAATTTTCATAAAAGTAAGGCACAAGCTACAAAAATGCTTTAAAATGCCACGTAAAGAGGGCCAACATAGATGCCCTCTTGATAATATTATAGATAAATGGATTGGATTAATTCACGCTTCTGACATGAACACAGAAAACCAATTCGCCCACCAATAATGTTCCCGGCCCTAAAATAAGACAGTAAAGTGAGAAGCTCCGAACTGGCCATTTCTAAATCGCCAATTCCATCAATTTTGTCTATGAGGGATTTACGGCACACAACATTTGTTGCCGGACGCACTGTTCGATGATGCTATCAAAGTGACGGTCTTATGTTCTTTATAAGTCTATCTCCTCCCCCCCC